TTAAACAACAGCGATGGCAATCCATATTTCAATTCGCTTACTCCATCTCCGCGCGTCATCGAGTGTGGTTCGGAATTCTTTACTTTGTGAGCTGTGTTTTTGGATTCTTGCGTCTGTGTTTAAAATTGTTGACCTCTGCTTTCTCCTTTTGGACTCCGACTGCTATTTTGTTGACCTCGGCTTATTTGAAATACGAACTATGATTTGCTACAATGACTTCGGAAAAAAAATGCTGTTCCGGACTGTGGTAAGTTTACTCTTTTTCTTTAGTACCTGTAGTCAGTCCTCTCTATTGTCATGTCTCTTATTATCATTTTTGTGAACATCTAAGTGTCTTCTTCATCATAATAAAAACTAAATAGACAGGCCTTCTCGGGTAATAATAATCTATTTAATTTAAAGAAATCTATGTCCAATTGGCTTCTTCCTATACACTGGCTTATTCATAATTGGTAGAATCTCTGCCTTTTATGCTCTAGTTTTGAATTCCCAGATAGACACTGAGTTGACACTGTTAAGTAAATAGTATGAATGTCTTGTTTCAGGTTTGGAAAAGGAAATTCTTCACAAATTTCCTAACCCTGATAAATACCCAGAACGTTTTCGGACCTGGCTTTACAATGTTGGCGGTGATGTAATGGCTCTAGAAAATAGTGTTATTTTCAAGCGTCGCTGTGTATGTCACTTGCATTTTGAAAGCCGCTTCCATACTAGAAGTAAATTCCTGAGTGCCAATGCTATACCTACACTCTGCTTGTCAGGTATGCAAAAATTATGTATTCATTTTAACTTAAAAGGTATGTGTACCATTTGGAAAGCTCACAAATAAAAGAAATGCATCTATGCGTAATCAACGTTTAATGCCGACTGGCGGCCATGACAGGTGTACCAACTAATCTTAATTAAACATTTATATTACAGTACGTTACCCTTAGCAAGTTATGCCCTGTAAGCTCAAAATTTACGAGGTACTATTACAATTGGCAAAAAAACGTGATGTTGTTTGCATAAGGCTTTGTTTTTCATCAGACTTTTTTGTATAATTCTTTTAAGAAGAACTGCTGCTGCTCTGAAGATAGTGCATTTCAATCTCAGTCAATACCTAATTACCCAATTTCCAACCTCTTAACAATGTAATATGGGCACAACAGCGAATTTCTTTATTGCTGTTCAAAAATAGAAGAAGATTTAAAGAATTATATTCATTATTGAAATATGAGTAAACTTACATTTTTTAACCAAAACTAAATATGAGTGCCACTTTAAAGCTTGTTAATTGTAAAAAATGTCAATTTTCATTTACAGGGTCCCAATTAAGAAGACCACTAATGGATGTGACGAATCAACCTGGCCCCAGTAGTGAGAATATTGCAATGCTGCGACCACAGTCAAATGTCCCAAACACATCACAGCTACAGAACAACACTTTGTGTAATCGAAGAAGTAAGTACATTGATCCAATGCACTAGAAGGAATAATTCAAAGGAATTACTGTGTAGTCACTTCATACCCACATGTCATAGTCACTTTATACAAGGCTCTATTTTATGTGTAGGGTATTTTTTGTATTTAAAGACATTATTAGAAGATTACATAATGTTAAAAATTATGGAGCTTCACTAATGTTACTCATTTTATTTTTTCTTTGTTTTTAGAAGCAGTTAAAAAGACTAACGAACATGAAAAGGATTTGGCCAAAAAAATTGTACAGTTAAAAAAACAAAATGAATCATATTCGAAGAGACTCAAAAAAGCTCAGAAACTTTCCACCAACAATGCTTTCCAAAATGCATGAAACAATTCAAGACCTTGGCTGCTATTATCACTCTGATGCAGTTTCGACAAATAGGGAAACCAAAGACAGGAAGAAGGTTCACAAAAGAAGAAAAGATAATACACTAAGTGTGTACAAGGCGGGACCAAAAGCGTACAGATGGCTTAGCAAAATATTTGTCTTGCCATCACCAGTGACTGTTTCCCGTATGATATCACAAGCCAATTTGAAACCAGGTCTAAATGACAATATTTTTGAACAACTCAAAGTGCAAATAAAGAAAATGAAAGAAGATGACAAGTGCTCATTAATCTTTTTTATTGTTTTATATTTCATTACATTTGTTTTTGTCATTTGAAAGTTGAAGTTGATTGAGTAAATGTAGGAAAAAACAAATACATGATTTAGATACAAAAATTGTTTCATTTTGAACTATTGATTGCTAAATTTAATATCCATTAAAAAATAAAACCCCTAGGAACCCAGTAGAGAGAATGAAGAATAGTATAGATATGTGTATGTACAAGGAAACCATAGTTCCATCTCTAGACACTAGATGGCGTTTAGATACTACATGAGCTGATAACTCTATACCTAGATATACAATGTACTCTTTGAGGCTACTAAAGCCGCGCGCGTGGGCCGCTTTGTTATATAATTGAATGTAAAAAAAATAAACTGTTATTTGAAAAAGTAACCATTAAATGTTCTTCTATTCGTCATTATCTATTTTTTGGTATGAGTTTTGTAAGAAATGATTTGATAATCTTTAAATAAAACCAGAAAAAAGATCAAAAATTGCTCTGTCTTCGTATTTTTTTATGATCGAGAGAATTTTAACGTATCGTGTTTTGAACCATAAAATGTTCAAGAACATATATGAAACTAAAATATATATTTTTACCCGAGCAAAACAAAGAATATTTGATTGTTTAAAGTTAAATCAAAAATAGGTAAAATTGGGATAACCTGGCCTTAAGTGGTTTAATTTTGTAGCTCAAATAAATGAGGTCATGTCGTGAAAAACCTGGTGATAAAAATTGTCCAGCCTTACCCACGTGATCAATAGAGGAGGCAAGTATAAGATCTAGCCAGGTATCCGACGCGTCTACGTTGTGATGAGTAGGCTCAAGAGGTAGAATGGTTAAAGCTACAGATTCAATCACTGCTTTCAAAGATCAAAGAGCGAGCTCTCATGCTGTCTTTCACGAGGTCGGTATTAAAATCGCCCATGATTATTTGATGAGTGTATTCAGTACTAAGAGATGAGAGTAAAGTTTCGAACGAAGTGAAGTAATCTATAGAAGGAGGACAATAAACAACCCCTAGAGCCACTTTTATACCCTTTACCTTGATCTCGATGAGCAAGTGTTCCAAAGAACTGGAGTATAGAGAGGGAGAAGAAGAAAGAATTTTGAAAGGAACGCCATTACGGATGTAAATGGCAACGCCTCCGCCACCCTTTCCCGTGCGGTCATTGCGAAGTAATATGAAACCAGGAAGACTAAAAGATGTAGAAACAAGGTTTGGTTTAAGCCAGGTTTCTGAAATCAGAATAGCATGAATATTAGAAGAGGAGAAAGTATCAAGTAGGTCGTTATAGTGGCTAGGGATGCTTTGGGCATTTATATGACAGACTTTTAGAAAGTTCGTGAAGTTTTGGAATTCGCGCGTTAATGAATCGCCAAGGGTATCAGTATTATGAAACTCAGATTCTGAGCTATCAATAGAAAGAAAAGACGAAGGCGAGTTGCAAGCTGAGTAAAAAGAGTCATCATCTGACATTACGTGTTGCGTAGGTATAAATAGACGTATAATAAATAAATATTAATTGTATAAAAAATAATACTTAACATAAAATAAATTTAATAAAATATAATAATATATAAAAAAAAAAGTTTCGAAGTATGGGTTCTGTGTAACCCACCAGTCGACCGTAAATTAAAAACTATAAGACTTTAAAACATAAAACAAGTTACATTGGTTATCGGCCCGCCCCGCCAGTAAACAAAAAAAAAAAAAAAGCATTCCATGAACAATTTCTGAACGCAACCGAACTACTACCAGCTGTCAAAATTAAAAACAAAAATAATCAAATTTTTACAGAGTGCCTAGCCTACCTTAATTACTTTTGTTGAAATTAAAAAATGAAACAAACCTACCTTACGTAAATAATTAAAATTAAACTTTCATCGTGTCGGTACCTAAGTTGTTACAACTAAATAGAATGAAATGAACACAAGATTACAGGTTTGAATAGAAGGTTAAAAAGATATGTGGAAAACTAAAGGGAATCTGTATTTATGTACAGTTCGGCTGCGATTCGAAGTTAAAAAAGAAAATGACGGGCACATTACAAACTACACAAAGTAACAATATATAATTTAGAAAGTTATTAAATTTCTCGCCGAGCTCGACGCTCCCCCACCTTCTTTGCGGCAACCTTTGACGGACCAGCCGGCGCTGGCGCAGCAGTCGCACGAGACACGGTGGATGCCGGAGTCGTCACAGGGGCATGCGACGCAGTTAACACACCCAGTTGCTCGGTGGTGGTCAGGCGGTGTTTCTTACCGCTTGGCAGCTTCACATTAATGTTCCCATCAGCAGTCCAGATATTACGCATTCCGAAATGCCTACGCGCTGCAAGGAACACCGCCTGTCTCTGCTTTGTCAAAAACTCGGTGACCACTATGGAAGAGCCCTTCAGTGCAGTTTTCTTTGACCACACAGAGTTACGCATGTCCAGCTCAGCAAACCTCACCAGTACATGTCGAGGCCGGCCCTCAATAACCCCCCCAAGTCTGTGACAAGCAACAATGGACCTGCGAGTAACATTTGGCAAATGAAGAGTTTTTTGGCAGATGTTCTCAATTGTGCCTACAATGTCCTCATCAGTTGCTTCCGGCACACCACCAAACAGCAAATATTTCCTCCTGTGCCGCATTTCTATGGAATCAACAGTGTTGCTGAGACTAGAAATCTGCTGCCTAAGCAGCTGCAGAATGCAGCCTACCTGATCTTTAAATGATAGGAACTCCGTGGTGAGGCTGCCAATGGTGTGCGCTTGAGGTGACGCAGCTTTCAGTGCAGCATCAAACTCAGCAAATCGCTGCATCAATGAAGTCTCCAAGTTCTTTTGCATCTCCAGGATGTTACTATAAGTTGCCATGACGAAATTGATGTTTCCAATAATAATAATTAAGTTTTAATTGTTCCGTTATGTAGTGACAATGCAAAATATTACAAAAGTCCAAAGGTCTGCTGGCAGGTATGTACTAAAATTCACTGAAATGACATGGGAAGTATTCACCAACACTGCACGTGATACATATATGTAATATCTATCAAATAACACGAAATTTATAATAAACTTTAATTGATTTTAATAAATATTTGACTATTAATGGGAGTGACTTGTTTGTTGTTGTTGTAGTTTTGATAATCACGACTCCAAAACCGCAAGAAGAAATTTCATTTTTTAAGGTTTTGCACTCTTTTAGAAATACAATTTTGTTTTGGTGATAATAAGTATGCTGCAAGAATTCTAAATTGTAATTTAATTGTATTGTAGATACTTTAATTAATACCATTCAAGTTTTGCGATTGTTATGTGTGGTATCCTCTGTTTCCGGTTACTTTCCTTTACACGCAGGTTTTTTTGGAAGAACAAAAAAATCTTGAGATCAATGCACTGTAACGCCACCTAGATCTGTGCAAAAGCAACTGTATCTTAATAATTATAGAATTTTCATAACCCAATTGTAAGATGGCGACGGCAGACAAACCATTTTCAAAACTTTCAAAGTATGTGAGTTTCACGCCCCTGGACAAGACTGAACTGTTTTGATACCCCCGCCATCCGCGCGTTAGATCGCTTGCTGAGTAGGCTCGTAGTGCGGCCATAACGCGCGGATAGAAACGTTTGAAAACCAAGCGTGCTATCTCGCTCACTACACTATGGACGTAAACAGCGATTTCATATGTTTGATACTTCGCGCCTGTAGTCGCAACCGCACTAGGCTGCCAATGTTCCGCACACAAAGGAGTAACTTGCATAGGTTAGACGTACACCCACTCTCAAAATCTTTTTACGGTCTAAAAATAGATTGAGTGATGCCAAATAATGTTTAGATGCGAGAACCTCGTTGGCTCGTAAATACTTTAGTACATTTTGAAAACTTTCTTCCGGACATAATTCACCAAATGCTGGAATGACTCGGAGAGTTCTTCAGATTGTAAAATACCAGTTCGTCAGTTATTTGGACTTTTACAATTATGTATAAGACGTGTGCAAATGAACACTGTAAGGTGTTTAATTTTGAATAACGATCAAAATTTACTAATGTTTGTCTTTGATCTGCGTTACATGTAGTCATACTGATTTTTACATCAGGCAATTTCTGCTGTTTGGGCCAAAAGGTTGGTCAAGAAGATTCCTTTTGCCTTAAAAAGGCGGGACCTATCCACCAGAGGTCCAGGCTATTAATTTTATTTGCCTCTACACCGCGTGAAGCTATGTCGGCTGGATTCAGTGTAGTAGAATGGCGCCATTCATAGTTGTCTGTTAACTCATGGATTGCACTAACCCTATTGGTTACGAAGGTTTTTAATAGGTCATATCTCTTTCCTAACCACGACAATGCCATCAACTAGTCAGTTCAAAAGACCTTGCGCGTGTCACACACGGCGCTCACGAGTTGCGCACAAAGCTCTAAGCGAGCGATAGTCTGTGGCTCAACAGAAGAAACCTTAGCCTTAGCACATAAAAGATGAACCGTGACCTCGCCACTACTATTTGTAGATCTGAGAAAAATGCAATTGGCATAGGCTGATTTTGAAGAATCATAAACGCAATGCAATTCTATATTAATAGGAAACTTACATAAACTGTGTCTAGATACACGGAAACCATGTATGTATTTCATATTGTCAATAAATTCCTGCCATAATATTGCTATATCATGGGTGCTGGCTCGTCCCAACTAACATTTTCGAGCCGTAGTTTATTATTAATATTTTTGGTTTAATTGTTACTAAACTTAATAGGCCAAGAGGATCAAATACCTTGCATGAATCAGATAATATAGATCTCTTAGTGGGGATTGCCTTGAAGTGATTTATAATACTAACCGAGCCACTCCACCTTTCGTCGTATTTTACGCGGATAAGTAACGTCTGAGGTAAGGGCAGAAATAAAAGCAATACGCAATATGGGTAACTAGGCATACAGTACGCACGACACACACGCAAGCAGCGACAAGCATAGGATGATATGCAGTTTCGGTAGAAGCTATTTAGCGACTGGGGAAAGGCGCCCCGCGGTGCAGTGATACACTCGCGCCACTCGTTCGACCGCCGGGACCGGTTCCGCGGTGTGACGCAGTTGAGATTATATATATATATATATATATAAATAGTCGGCGCC